GGTCTGCAGAAGAGAAGATGGGCAATGGTTGGAAGGAAACTAAGTAACAGCTCAATTTGGAGCATTGGTCCAACAGACTCATCCCAGCTCCAGATGCACATGGGCGGCCCATTAGAACATTTCCTGGTTTATCCTTAACCCTTATCCTTAATCCAATCCACAACCAACCTCAGGGGCAGCAGGAGAAAGTGCCTCACCAAAGGCCACCACGGGAGGTCCTCTGCCCCTCTAGGTCCTGCCTCCAAGCCACTGCTTGTATTCCTAGTAAGGTCTTACCCAGCTCTAGACAAAAATTGAAGGCCTGTTTGCAGCTGGAAACTTGTTTATATGCAAATACACCCCCTACAGTGGGCCTAACACTACTGTATGCCAGAGGAAATACTTTTTGCAGAGCAAGGGCCCAAGGTGGACGCCATCCCGCCTTGCTCAGCAGTGGGGTTGTACTCACTATACCTCTTGCCTGGTTCATCAAGGCTTTGTGTTTCCACTCGTGGGGCGTGGGATTTCTCCCATGGCAGAGCTCTCGCGGCACCCTGGCAAATCTGGGGAAACCTATATGGCTCCTTTCCAGAAGAACTGTACACAAAGAACACCAGGTTAAGACCCCCCACCCTCTATAGAGATGATGAGGATACACTGCTAAATGGGTCCCCTTCCCATGGACCCGGTCCAGATCGGAAAGCCCTTTGCAGGCATTATTCAACCGGTCATCAAATATCAAGGTTGTCCCAGGTGCTGAGAACTGGCTTTTTTTGGTTATTTTAAATTTTATGTTGAATAATTGTAGAATCATAGAAAAATTATACAGAATCCCCAAATAACTGCATTTAGATTCCCCAAATGTAAATATGCTACCACATTTGTCATTATTTCTTTATATTTTTATCTATACATATACATTTTTCCTGAATAATTTGAAATTCACCCCTACATACAAGAACATTCTCTTACATAACCATTATCAAAATTACAAAATCAACACTGATATGAGTATTCTCATCTAATCTACGGACCTTTATCAAATTTGACCAATTGTCCCATTAACGCCCTTGAGAGCATAAAGAAAAATCTTCCCAGCTCTCAGATCCACTCCGGGATTCTACATGCCATTTCATTATCATGTCTCTTCATTGGCCTTTTACCTGAAATGGGGTTCCTCAGTCCTTTAGGATACTTTGAAGAGTACAGGCCATATTTTTGTTTACAGAATATTCTTCAATTCGAGTTTGTCTGATGTCTCTTCATAATAAATTCCGACTACCAACCCTGGACAAGAATTCCTGCGTGGTGCTGTGTCCTTACACACTTGGACAGGAAACCCTGTGTGTGTCTTTCTCAGTGCATACTATCAGCAGGCATGAGATCCATTTGTCCTATTCTTGGAATGCTAACTTTGATCTCTTGGTTGAGGAACAATCTGCCAGTGTTCTCTAAAGCAGCAGTCGCCAACCTTTTGGACCTCATGGACCACCGGTTGGCGACTGCTGCTCCAAAGGTTTCCTTAAACCAGCGGTCGCCAACTTTTCAGACCTCACGGACCACCAGTTGGTAACCACTGCTCTAAAGTGTCTCTCAGTATTAAAAAGCATCTTGGGCCTGGCCGGTGTAGCTCAGTGGTTGAGCATCAACCTATGAACCAAGAGGTCACAGTTCGATTCCCTGTCAGGGCACATGCCCAGGTTGCGAGTTTGATCCCTAGTAGTGGGTGTGCAGGAGGCAGTTATCGATGATTCTCTCATTGATGTTTTTCTCTCTCCCTCCCTCTTACTCTCTGAAATCAATAAAAAAAATATATGCCGTAGCTGGTTTGGCTCAGTGGATAGAGTGTCGGCCTGCAGACTGAAAGGTCCCAGGTTTGATTCCAGTCAAGGGCACATGCCTGGGTTGTGGGCTCGATCCCCAGTGTGGGGCATGCAGGATGCAGCCGATCAATGATTCGCTCTCATCATTGATGTTTCTTATCTCTCCCTCTCGCTTCCTCTCTGAAATCAATAAAAAGTATATTTAAAAACGAAATATAAAAATAAATTTAAAAATATGTATTTTTAGCCTTAGCTGGTTTGGCTCAGTGGATAGAGCATCTGCCTGTGGACCAAAGTGTCCTGGGTTTGATTCCGGTCAAGGGCACGTACATTGGTTGCAGGCTCCTCCTCGGCCCAGGCCCTGGTCAGGGCTCATGCAGGAGGCAATCAATCGATGTCTCTCTCTCACGCCGATGTTTCTCTCTTTTCCATCCACCTCCCTCCCTTCCACTATGTCTGAAAATCAATGGAAACAAGATCCTTGGTGAGGATTAAAAATAATAAATAAATAAAGCATCATGGGAGGAGACAACTGTCCTGTTTACAGCACACTTTCCCATTAGTTTTAGCATCCATCAATGACTCTTGACAAATAATTTTTAGCACTATGGTGAAAATACAGATATTTTATCTGTACCATTCCTGCTTCATTTATTATTCTACTGTAAAACAAAAGAACTTTCTCCTTTCCCCCATTTATTTACTTGTCAGTGTAGACTCATGGGTTCTTATTTTATTCTATGGGTTATAATCTATTACTACCATTATTTATTTGATCCTTTAATTGGCCCAAAAAGCTGGCTCCTGGGTCCTGTTGACATGACCCACCATTCTTTGAGCACTTCCCTATTTTCTGGCATAGCAGACATTCCAAGCTCACCTATAATTTTCTTACCCCAGCCCCAGAATCAACCATTTCTCCAAGGATCCCTGTTTTCTTGGATACTAACAATTATAATCTGGGTATGAAGTGGGTTCATTGCTATTGGAGTGTCTTTGCTTCTAAGCCCTCTCAACAAGTGCTAGAAAATATATATGTATAAATGTGAAAACATACATACACACAACTATTTCTATAGCTACAAATAAAAAACCATGGCTTCACCTGATGACTCTAATTCCAATCCAATCCCACAGGGTTCCTTCTAGCCTTTCCCACTTTCCGTATTTAGAGAAACTCCTTTTTCTGGCAATAAACAAACAAACATTATCCACAATACACAGGGTGGGGCAAAGTAGGTTTACAGTTGCTCGTATGGAAAATAATAATTAATCACTAAAACAAGAATAAACTGCATTTCGCATACTTACAACTGTAAACCTACTTTTGCCCCCACCCTGTACTTACCTATTTATTTGCTCAATTCTAGAATACATAGTTTCAGAATTACTAACCCATATCACTGTGAAAAACAAACCTACTAACCAGAATTCAGTATTTGTTTATAGTTTTTTCTCTTTAGTACATGGGTTAGTTCCTTTTTTTCCTGTAGTAATGCCGCCATTTGACACACAGGACTTAATCAGCCCTGGCCGGGAAGCTCATTTAGAGCATCGTCCCAATACACCAATGTTGTGGATTTGATCCCCAGTCAGGGCATATAGAAGAATTAACCAATAAATGCATGAGTAAGTAGAACAACAAATCGATATTTCTATCAAATTAATTAAAACCCTTTTTTAAAAATTGTTTCAGGTATTACATATGTCTCCGTTTTCCCCCAAGTGAACACCCCCCCGGCCACTCCCACCCCCAAGGGCAAGCCCCCACCACCCTAGTGTCTGAGTCCACAAAATTTTTTAAAATAGTAAATCAAGGCTTTGACACCAGACGTGAGTTCCGTTCTCCTGTGGCAATGGTCTCCCGCTAACTGGCTGACCCTTCTGAAACCTGGGGCTTTACAGAAATGAGGCAATGCCAGCCACGCCTAGTTATTCTGATTCGGTCAATCTGAGCGAGAACCAGGGAATCTGTATTTTACAAATGTTCCCAGAGAAGCACTGGCTGTAATATAAAAAGCCTAAAAGCAGGGCCTGATAATCTCCTCTGGCCAGTTCGCACCCAGCTCCAGTCTCACGGGGACATGGTGCTAGCAGTGCTGCCTGCCTTGCCTACACGTCTGCTCCTCTGCCGGCAACGGTCTCGCCTCTCTTCACCGCCTCGCAAATACCGAGCCTTTAACACCCAGCTCAGAAGTCTCCTCCTCTATGAAGACTTTCCAACTTCCCAAACATGGCCACACCCTCAGTTCCCTGAGCTCCCAGAGTTTGCTTTTGATTATGAAATAATCCGCACACTGAAAAACAGACCAGCACAACACGACAGCTTTTTCCATTGCCCTGTTACAGCGCTCCTCGAGAGAAGCAGAATGATCTGTGTTTGTCTTTTCCACTGGCAACAAGAATTCCTCTTCCTCCTCTGATGATTCCCAGGCACGGGATCTGGCACACAACACAAGGTGCTCAAAAATGTTTGGTCTAAGATTATTTGCAGCTTTAACCCTGTGGCTCAAAGATGGCCTAGGTTCTTTTCCATGAGTCTTCAGAACAGAGATGAAGAAGGACTCTGTACTAAGTAATTCTCATTTTGAGATGAAGTCCATTTCTTCCTGCTCTGGACTAAACCTGCCTGTTATTGTTCATGCTGGTAACTGAATGCTGTTTCCATACCAGACCTGATATTTTTAGCACTCCTGTTATGATAAACTCACACTAACCTCAAAAAGAACAAATCAAAGTCAACTTTTTGCCACAGGAAACCAGCTCATGCTTAATGTTTTGCAACATGCCATGGGAGAATAATAAAAAGATGAGACCTTTTGCTCACAGATGGCGAGGCCAACGCTCAAGATAGTGGAAAAATGCAGCAGGAAGCGCTCAGTCTGGCCACTATCTTAGTAAGTAAACTGGAAAAACACTCAGCACCCAAACAAGGCACACACACGCACATGGACGCAGGGCAGCTGCTTCCCCAGACGCTGAATCGTGGACGGGGCAGTAAGAGCCATCCACATGTGAGGCGGGCTGGGGCCAGGACGGCACTGGAATCCAAAGCCTGCTGGGTGCCCGGGGCAGCAGACAGGTGAGAGGATCCTGCGGGGTCACCAGTGGGCCGGCTGCTCTCCCTCCAGAGTGGAGTAAATGACCAGATAAGGAATACCAGCCACTCATGCCAAAAACACTTACCAAGCACCTACTATGTCCGCCAATGGTGAAACCAAGGCAGGTTCCCTGTAAGGTATTCTCAGGTGCGCATCACAGCCAAACACCTGTCCTCACTAGGAATTCCTGAGGCAGGTGGATCAGTCACATTCCTAGAAAGGTCTGGGGAACAAATTCCCAGGACTGGGAAAAACTAAAAACGATTTATGTGACTTTCAGGATGAGACTGGTCACAAAACCTGTCTGTACACTTAAAATGGGTAAACTTTCTGTTTATTTATCATACCTCAATAAAGTTGTTAAAAGCATAAAAATAAAAAATACAGAAAAACAAGACACACTTTCACTGACTATTTAGAATGAGAAGAGATTTCAGAGAGAGGCTGGCTATCATAGTCCTCCCATTTCTATAGGCGAGGAAATAAAATCCTAAAGAGGCAAACTGACTTATCTATGCCCAAGGTCACAAAGACAGATGATGGCAAGTGTATTTGGCAGAAGGCAAGTTCACCTGTGGAAGCTGCTATGTCCTGCATAAGTCCAACAAGGTCAAATTACAGGAGAATCTCAGTTCTATGAATGGCTGAGTAGAAAACTGAAATAAGTATTTCTCTGAACATGAGAATAAGGTGCCCGACCAGGGTAGCTCAGTGTTTGAGTGTAAACCTATGAATCAGAAGGTCATGGTTCGATTCCTGGTCAGGACACATGCCTGGGTTGCAGAGTTGATCCCCAGTGTGGGATGTGCAGGAGGCAGCCGATCAATGATTCTCTCATCATTAATGTTTCTATCTCTCTCCCTCTCCTTCCTGCTCTGAAATCAGTAAAACAGTAAAAATTAAAAAGAGAGGACGGGAAGGGACGGGCTGTGCCTGCGAGAGGATCAACATGCCTTTGGCGAGATTTACTACACCCATCCTTGGAAGAGGGAAAGAAAAAACATAACAAGAAACGGCTAGTTCAAAGTCCAAATTCTTCTTTTATGGATGTAAAATGTGCAGGTTGCTACAAGATCACCACGGTGTTCAGCCACGCTCCGACGGCGGTTCTGTGCGTAGGCTGCTCAACAGTGTTGTGCCCGCCGACGGGAGGAAAGGCTAGGCTCACGGAAGGGTGTTCATTTAGAAGAAAGCAGCACTAATGACCCACACAGCTTCCTGAATTTGGGTTGTATCACAAAAAGCCTTATCAGTTTAGTAATTCTAGTTAATCTACCAGGATAATGTAATTACATTTAATTTTGTAAGTATACAACAGTGATCTCCTATTTTGGTATCAATTTTTCAATAAAGTTTTGATTATGGAAAAAAAAATTTTTTAAAGAGCTCTTTTCCGGTTTTTGCAGCGCAAGGAACCATGAGCAGCGAAGTCTCCCGCGACACCCTTTACGAGACAGTGCGGGAGGTCCTGCACGGGAACCAGCACAAGCGCTGGAAGTTTCTGGAGCCAGTGGAGCTGCAGATCAGCCTGAAGAACTATGACCCTCAGAAGGACAAACGCTTCTCGGGCACCGTCAGGCTTAAGTCCACGCCCCGCCCCAACTTCTCCGTGTGTGCGCTGGGGGACCAGCAGCACTGTGATGAGGCCAAGGCCGTGGACATCCCGCACATGGACATCGAGGCGCTGAAGAAACTCAACAAGAATAAGAAACTGGTCAAGAAGCTGGCCAAGAAGTACGATGCCTTTTTGGCTTCCGAGTCTCTGATCAAGCAGATCTCACAAATCCTGGGCCCAGGCCTGAATAAGGCTGGCAAGTTCCCTTCCTTGTTGACCCACAATGAGAACATGGTGGCCAAAGTCGATGAAGTGAAAACCACAATCAAGTTCCAGATGAAGAAGGTGCTGTGTCTGGCAGGGGCTGCTGGCCATGTGAAGATGACAGATGATGAGCTTGTGTACAACATCCACTTAGCTGTCAATTTCCTGGTGTCATTGCTCAAAAAGAACTGGCAGAACGTTCAGGCTTTGTACATGAAGAGCACCAGGGGCAAGCCCCAGCGCCTGCACTAAGGCCCAGCTTAATAAACCATACTGCCACCGTTAAAAAAGAATGAGTTGATGTGCTCACAGAGTCAGCTTAATGCTTACAAGCTGAGGTCTCTAAGCTGCTGGCAGGAACCAGGGGATGAGAACATAAGAGTATGTCGCTTTACTTCCAGAACCTTACTTAGTCCACCAAGCAGTCTAGCAGGCAAAACTGCCCCTGGTCGGGAATCACCACATCATGGTAAACTCAAATACCAGTTGACCAGCATGACTAATTTATAAGCAGCAGCTATACCCAAAACCTTTGCAAAAGGACAACTACTATTTACTGAGGCTTTCTATGCGCCTGGCACTGAGCAATTAGCTTCTCCCAAAGGGCTGACCCGCTGCTCTCTCTGAACTCCAGGCAGGAGGGTGCTGCTGTGACTCCAGTTAGCACTTCCTTGCTGAACTGCCCCAGTCCTTAAAGGGGCTATTTTCTGAGTCCTACGCTCACATGCAAAGACTCATTCCTACTTAACCCATTTCATTATTTCTATACAAATGGATATTACGTGCTTCAAAATAGTTCATCCCCCAACTTTCCTTGTCCCCAATTGGGTCAACACCATTAATTACTATGGGAAGAGCTTTACTCATAAATAATGTAAAGATAAACTTCAGCCCTGTCTGATCTCCTTACTAGTTTATTAAGGAGGCTTTATACAGCTTTATGTATTTCCCTTTGGAGAGCTAGCACACACTTCGTCTGTGCTGACTTGGAGGGGGAGTTCCTGGAGTCTGCACAGACCAAGGGAAGGAAGGAAGAGGGATGCAGCTCCCCTCTCTTCCCTGGGGAAAGAAGACCAAATACTGTCTAAATGCAACCAAAAATGCTTGGTAGATTTTACAAAGAAAAGCTACATCTCCACCTCAGAGTCTCCCTGCAAAAGGGTGATGGTTCTGCAGAGATACTGACTCTTGCAGGCCTGGGTGAACACATGGTGCCTGGGACAGGTGACTGAGGGCCTCCAATACCGTAGCTGTGCTACATGAACTGGGGCGTGGAAAAGGAAGTAAGTTGGGAGGCACATCCCCAGAAGGTCAAGGTGATTTTTCTCTCTCTACTTTTCTGGCATTTTCTGCAGTAAATATGAGCTATTTTTACACTAATTAACAAACTGGTACTTTTACATGTGCTTGCAGTGTAACGGAGAATGAGTCACCTTTCTCTCTCTGTGCCTCAGTTTCTTTGTCTGTAAAAAAGGGTTAGTAACAGTATCTAGCCCCACAGCTTGTGCTAAGCTAAGCACTCAATGTTAGTGATTATTTTTAAAACAACACTAAAAAAATTACTTAAAAGTGCCAAGCAGAAGGAGCCAAACAATACTTAGCTAACAGCCCCTGCCGCCCCCCTACCCTCCGCCCCAGTAAGGAGGGAGGGAGGGAGAGAGGGAGACCTTTCAGGAGAGGAAAACTGGTTTGGGGGCCAAGGAAGAACTCTGTAGAGGGAAAAGTGGTGCTGAGAAAATGTTTGATTTATGACACTGTTATCTCAGGATCAACTTTAGAGGGTAGGTCACTTCAACAAATAAAAAAAGAGATTTGAAAAAAGCAAAAATGATTAAGAAACCAGACCTCCATGATGGTCCTCGTCTCCATTCACTCAGATGTGTGGCCCCTGAGAATCAACTAAAGAGGAACCTAACTCGGGGGCGAATATCAAGAAACCATCTGGACTCTGCAGCCACATATGCAGAAATCAAAGCCCAAGGCGCTCCCGGCTCCCCGGAAGCCTCGAGCCCTCACCTTGAAGGAGAAAGTAATCCGAAGTTGTGCGCTTCAGAGCGGCCTTTGCTTTGTCGCTGCTCCAGTCCACTTCCAGGGCTTCTTTAATGGAGCAGAAGACCACTTTCTGTTGAAAAAAAGGCAAAACAGCTCAGGGATAAACTATGCCCGGCTTTAACTCACAAGGCAGTACAGCTCTTCACCATTGAGAGAAATGTCATTATCTAAGGTTTACTGTTCATTAAAGGAAGCTGAGGCCACTCAAATCCAATAAACGTTTATTAAGCACTTACTGAGTGCTCCTCTGGGCACTGGGACACAGCAATGAATAACATACTCCCTGCCTTGAAGGAAGACAGAGCAAAGCAAAAGCCCTAATACCATTCTGGTTCTTTCTTTTACTGGTTGCATTTACACTACAGAAATAAAAGCGAAGAAAAATATGTGTCTAGAGATATTCAATAAAAGTTTTTTTTAATAGTAAATAAAAACGAACAAAAATTAATAAATGTTTCTCAGTAGAGGAATGTTTGCTGCTGCTGATGGATGACAATACTAATAAGTAACAGCAAGAAAAAGAATAACGGGCCCTGGCTGGTTTTGCTCAATGGATAGAGCGTTGGCCTGGGGAAAGAAGGGTCCCAGGTTCGATTCTGGCCAATGGCATATGCCTAGGTTGCGATCCCCAGTGGGGGGCATGCAGGAGGCAGCCAATCAATGATTCTCTATCATCATTGATGTTTCTCTCTCTCTCTTCCTCTCCCTTCCTCTCTAAAATCAATAAAATATATTTTGAAAGAAAGCTATAAAAAGAAAAAAGAACAACGGGGATGAAACGAAAGCTGCAGGCTATGGAAATGGAAATGGCATTGGCAAAAGCCCTGTGGTAGGGGAAGTATGGCTAAAACCTATTAAACTAAACCAAATAATCTTGGAAAATGCCATAATATATACTTTAAAATGTAAACAATTAAATATGAATGAGAAAATGGTTTCCCTTTCCTGAACAATTCCATCCAAAGTCATGTACTGGGACTGAGGAAGGGCAGGAAAGAGAGAGAGTGTGTGTAGAGGAGCTGGGGACCTGGCTGGAGGAGACAGAGCATGATAAGAAGGGCTTCCCCAGGGACAGCAGAGAGAGAATGACTATATCCACAGACTGGCTGCAACTAGTAAATATACTGAGATTCTGGGAAGCCAGGCTTCTCAATGTCAGAGAAGAGAATTGGAAATATGGGGAGAAAACTAGAACGAAGTCTGTGGTTTTGGGGATAAACTCATTTTCAATGTATGGACAGATAAAGAAATAAATGTAGATGCAATTCCCTGAAACAAGGAAGTGCTCAAAGAATGATGGGGACATGAAACAGAAAACAGGACACAGCTTAAGGAAGTACCCACTGGTCAAATCTGGAACAATTTGAGGGTAAAAAGAAATAATAATAGATTGCAACACTTAAAATAAACTAGAATCTATTAGTCCACAGACCTAAAATTAATCAAGTTTAATGAGGAATGGGATATTTACATATTTTCAAAATACCTCTCTATAAAATACATATTAGTCACACAGGGAAAGAGGAATTGTATTCAAAGAAGTCTGGCAGACATAATCTCATTCAAATGATGAAAGTGAACATTAGCAGTAAAGGGCATATGGAAATCATGCGCCAGACCACAGAACGTGATGAGAAGCATCCGTACCATGATATCTTTGCCAAAATGTGTAGCTGGAATCTAATCATAAGGGAACATCAGATGAACCCAAACTAAGGGACATTTTACAGACTAACTGGCTCGTAATCTTTAAAAGTGCCATGAAAATCTAGATGCACGCATGATCCTGAACTGGACCCTTTGCCAAAGGGACATGACTGGGGCAACTGGCAACACTTGAATGGGGTCTGAGGATTAGACAGTAATGATGTAACTGGATGAGTTTCCTAATTTTGATGGCTGGGTTGTGGTTATGAAGGATGACTTGTTTGAGAAAATACAAACTGAAATATCTGGGAATGATGGTTGGGGCATTATGTTGGCATCTTACTCTCTGACAATTCAGGAAAAAATGGTTCTCAGTACTGGTTACTTTTACTGGGTTTAAGATGGATGTGTATAAATAATTTCAAACTTACAGAGGTATGGGTCCTCTCTTTTCTTTCTCTACACACACACACACACACACACACACCCCGGCATCGTACAAATCCCCACCCCCCTCGATATTTAAAACAGACAGGCGGGGGGGGGGGGGGGGAGAGGGAGAGAGAGAGACTGACTCAAAACAACAAGAGTATAATTTAGGAGGCTTACTAAACCAAGATCTATCAGCTACCAGGCAATTTACATAGCTTACTAAGGACCAAAATGGATATTATAAATGAAATT